AATGTAGCTGAAGGTGTAAATGAAGTGCAGCACATACTTACTTCTAGTAGAAAAAATCCAAGCCAGTCTAGCAAGGCACACTTGATCTCTGGATTCTGCTGTCAAGAAAACTTAACTCCAGGGGGAAGGGGTTGCAATCAGTGTAGGTGTAAAATTTGTTCCCCAAGGTTGCCTTCTGTGAGGTTAGGCAATGAAGAATAATGAGCTTTTGAGAGGGAAGAAGAGAGAATTTGGATGGGTGGCAGAGGTAGGAAAGGCTTGGGAGAGCATGACAGAAATGAGCTACATAAACTATGTGTTGCAGACTTAATCTTCCTCAGCATCTGGAAAAGAATCGAGTATTTAGTACTGGTTATATGTCAAGAGCAGGTAAAGCAAAAAAATTGAGCTGAAAACCTCCTAGTGGAATTGAGGAAAGATTTCGTTTTGCAGACTTCGTGAATTATTTGGACTGGCTGCTGTCCAGTGCAGTCTTTTTGTCTTGTACTTGAAGTGGCCTCATATCTGCCCTGCTCAGAGCTTTAGTGTGACTAGTTTAATTCTGTTCTCACCTTTCTACCAGGGCTTCAAAAGGCAGATAAGAAAAGCAACCAAAGCAGTTCCTAGTGGCTGCTTGTTGCCAGAGAAAATGGCACCAAATTAAGTGAAGGCAAATCTCTGTACTTTGTTTCAGTGAAAAGCAGTTCTTACAGGTGCTCATGTATTAATTACCTTTTTACTGTCTTGGTGCTTAGCACTTTTGAATCCTCAGTAGCTTAGTACAAAAATATTAGGAGAGAGCTTTTCTGTGCTGCCTCTAGCACTGCTTTGGAATGCTGTAAGGTGTTGTGCAATGGAACTGAGCACTGAGTGCTGATAATTCTTATTGGCAGGCACTTCAGTCTCTTTCTTGGTAAACTGCTGCAAGGCACTAGAGAACTGATTGATCTAAAAAAGAACTAGAAGGGAGTAGCCTTTCCTCTTTGTAAATGTGGTTGGAAATGGCTTCTCCAGAGTGCCTCTAGGAATTACATGGGAGTAGGGACTGGTACTGCCTATATAAAGATTCCTGGTTGTGCAGTGGGAGGTAGAACACTGGGGAAAAAAGAAAATCGGGGAGGGGGGGGGAGGAAGGAGGGAAGGAAGTGCCTTGTCTCTGGAGTGCGGGGATTAAAGGGGCTAAGAGGCAGCAGTAAGGAGAGTGACATAAAGTTGCTATAAATATATTCCTTATGAAATAAACCAAAGCTGAGATTTAAAAAAAAATCAATTACTCAGGTTGATTCTATGTTTAGGCAAAGAGAATGTATTTTTGCAGCTGCTTAAAGACTTTGGCTTTCACCTCATGTCATAGTCTCTAAAGAATGATTTGGTGAGTTCTGTAGTTTCTGGGCTTTATTGTTTTTAAATGTTCTTGGAAAAAAGTAGTATGGATTATTGCTTAGCTGATGTATGCATGGTGAACATTGGGAATCACTTACACAGAATGTCCAAAAGTTAGTGTCTTCTCTTGGCCAGAAATCTGACTGTGACAGAAGAAGTTGGGGACAAATGAGGAAAGCTTTTGAAGACTCCTGGGCACAATGTGAGTTTTC